TCTTACCTCTCCCATTGTGCTCTATGTCAAAGTCGTCGTGAATCGTTAACAGTGGTTGGCCAACAGAGCAATGACTGTTTGCTTCAGCTTGCTATAGTCTCAAATATTCGGCGACTGAAGCCCAATTTGTGCAACCAGACTGAATTTACGACCAGCGTCGCCCTACCTTGAAGAAATTATTGATCGTTTTCCTTCGAACTGAATGGTCTTGCACACGGTTTCTTCTTGTACGCAACGCGATACTTTCATGGAATGCATGTAAACAGCTGAAATACTAGAATTCAATGTATTCCGTTAAAATGTATTTTTCCTGAAAGTTGTAAAAGGAAAGTGCCATATGAAAGTCTAAAGCGACCTAAGATGCTGACAATACGATCAACCTATCATCAAGGAAGGTCAGGTGAGAGAGGACCCACTCCAGTGTCTTGGCGTCCAGTTTATTGAAAATGATGACAAACTACTCCAATTCTAGATTGCACGATCGAGCGACTTTCAAGCGTTACGACGGCAGTGTGAGGTGGTCCGGACAGCACAGATGCAAATTACCGGCCCCTTGCGTAATGGATCACAAGCCCACCTTGTAATCCGAAAGCGCGGGCTCGAGCCTGCGTATGGGACTGGGCAACCCTCGCTGTGTTGTCAGCTCACGTGCGACTGTTGGTGGCTGCGCGGCAGCGAAGCGTCGGTACTACGTACCGGCGTACTACTAATACTCTTCATACAATATGGTTAAGCGCTGATGACGTCAGAGTTTCGTCTAGTTATGGCCTATGCCGAGCTCCTTGGAAATCCACTACAAGAATGGTGTAGTGGTATAGCATACAAATGATGGCCTATCAGTAACCATCGAAGCATTCACAGATGATCGTCTTGAAAACAAATAGCTGCGTTTAAGAAAATAGCACTAAGATTCTGTAGTGTTAACGCATGCTCATGTGGGGCATCGGAGCAGATAGGAGCCAGAAAGTGCTCCTACCATAATGGTGATTAGAGAAGCTGCAGACAACTAGGGCGTGCAGACATACTGTCTCGCGTTGATGGTCTTCCCTCAGGGAGATAGCGCGATGGGAGTTGGAAATGCTGGCTATCAATGTGTTCCACAGAACATGCAAAGTCGAACCGGGACGGTTGCAAATACGTGGGAATGCTGAGCAAATAGAGAAAGAAACCAACTCATCATTGTTAGCTATCGAAAGAACAAACAATGGACAATGTAAAGCCATAAGCAGTACCGACGCTTCGATGCCACGTAACCACCCCCAGTTGCGCAAGGGATAAGATACTGTGAGAGTAGCCCGGTCCGCTCCGCAGGCTGGAATCCGCGATCTTCGGATTTCAATGCAGGTTTGTGACCCTTTCGGGTTAAGCAAACTGTAGGCATGCCAGCATCATTTTGAATGAAAATGGCCCCGGCTGACTGCATTTTCTCAAACGCTTACACAAAAGCCGACAAGAACGTGTGGAGGGACAACGACGAAGTAAGGAAGAGTTGTAATCTGAACCAAATGGTCAATGTTCTACACAAGGATAAAGTTTTCGAAACAGGATCTGGCCTGAGTGTATCGACACTCAATGTTTGCCATCGTCGTGGTAGAATCGTAGGCCGCAGTATCCGCAGGCATGACTTCCGGGTTGGTCCTGCAAGAAATGAGCGGAATAAATTCGAATGTTACTGTGGATTCGAGCGGAACGAAACGTTGTGATGTGCAGAAATAGATGATGTGAACCAACCCACGTACACAGAAATCGATTGGATATCATCGACTAGCGGTCGTCTCCCTCATTCTAGTCTCATTAGCAATGCACGCTGGCCGCATTCAGACGAGGTGACGCGCGTAGCAGAAAGACCACTAGGAGATATAAGGTGTGTGCTAGTTGACCAAAGAAAAATACATTTGAGAGCAACAGTCACACCTAGATGCTAATGGAGAACAAGCGGCTTGGAGCATGCGAATGTCCCCATAAAATCGATGTCACAAGTTTGTTCGAGAAATAAAGCAAAAACATGTGGGGCGATCGTCACCACAACAATTTCGTTGGCGACGCTGAACGACGCAGCAGTTCTCTGAAGTATCTAATGTCGTTTTTGCTAGACTTATGATGTACCTATAGGTAATTAATGGGACCTAGAGTGGTAATTTGTGCAACAAGTGGGAGATAACTTTCTTGGTTCTACTGGGTTATTCCGGAATAGTCGTGCAGTTTAGCGCTGTGGAATCGTAGAAGATTCAGAGGGTGGTTTTGTTCCATTTAAATTGATTAGTAAAGCAGTTAGATTGGAAATCATGACGGACCGTCGCTATCCCCTATGGTGGCGTGCAAGCCACTAGGGGTCATGGGTTCGGACACCGATGGATCCGATAAATGCGCAGTGCTGACGAGACGCAATAGGTCAAAACAACCCTCTATTACTTTTCCGAGTATGTGGAAGACTATCTGATTTGGAAGCTGGCTACGAAGAACCTTCAATAATTTACACCAAAAATCGTCTACCAATGGGTAAAGCATGTTTTTCTTAAAACCTACCGGATTCGAACCCAAGGTTCTTCTAAGAATACTCAGCAAAATAAGTCAGTGAACCGCTTCGATCGCAAGTTAATGGCTGTAATCCATCAAGGTTCACCTTCCGCTGTGTTCGGAAAGGGTTGTCCACCGGTCTATGACTTTTATAACTGAGATGGACGATAGAATAGTAGTTGTAATTTAGAGTTGCAGAATTCGGAAAATACGTTTTCTAATGGTGAGTCTCAATGACATGAAATGTAGATTCGGTGCTTCGTCCGGTGGGCTCTGGTTAGCCGACTTAGTTACAGCAACCCTATATAAGGCTGTCGAGTCAGTATTTAACCAGACACTGAGTGATTACCTTAGTGCGTCTGTTGCTGTAGCGATCTTCACTTGTAGTGGCACAAAAGCGTAGCAGAGGGGAAAGAGAGAAGCTCTTAAAAGCAAACAGATCAAGAAGTAAAAAGGATAGAAGCTTTCTCTATCCTGTTTCGCCATGGGAACGTAAACCTATGGTTACATAAATAACGAGCGAACAGAAAGCACCGTTGTTTGTGGTTAAACCATCCCATCTTTGCGCATCCTAGTTGCGTAAGAAAAGGATAACGAGTGACTACTGCTCACTATGATCACCAAGGGAGTACACTTAGGTGAAAATGACCATCATTCCGTGAAATATGAAGGCGAAAAACATAGTCGTAGCCCAGATTTTCAACTTAGGTGAACTACTAGGAGTGGCTTTCAAGATCTCCGTCACCTCCGCCAGTATTGGGAAGAGCAACACCCAAATATATCCATTCAGGATACGGTCCTCGAGATCGGAATGACCGTGGTTTACCTCAAAGTGAGCCGAGGTCTCAATAGAGGTTGCGAGTCGTAACCCAACCACACAGCGTGCTCCCTAAATTCAGCTATGACCTCCGTCACTTGTTTTAACGCAAGGATAGATGTAATTAATTGAGAGTTCATCACAGTAACTACCAAATCAGATAGTCCTCCACATGCTCGGAAAAAGACTGAACAGCAGTTTTAGCCTTTTGGACATCAGTAGTGCGCACCCATCGGATATGTCCGGATTTGAACCCATAACCACCATCGGCTTACAATGCCAGTCAGCAGCTTACGCAAATTTATGAAGCTGCTGTAAGCCCGGAGTTACTGGTTGGATCAGAGAAATGTCCAATAAGCGCTGAGGATATAAGCAGACTAACCGTTGTTAACCCCAAGTACCTGTAAAATATTGTTGGTAAATGGTTGGAATACCGACCAGTGTTTGTTAGGAGACGGAATAGTGTCACGCCGGAGTGCATACGGAATATCAATCGCCTACGAAGCGTAGGTCATGCGCTCAGCATGCCTCATCAGCTTACTTTGTTCCCCCACACTGCGTAGTTGCGTGGAATTCCTAGGTAGTCATTTTTGTCGTGACAAAAGACCATAAATTCACCATTGAAACAGCATGCAAGTTGCTGGATTCTCATCTTCTTTTGCTGAGTGAGGCCATACAGATTAGCCGTAGTAGATGTTAGATGTGGCGCCGTTACGAAGCCCTAGGGTCTACTGCGCTCCATCCTTTGTTTTTGGGAATTAGGTATCCCGTTCACCTTGAACCACATTAGTTATTGTTGATGCTAACAAAGAACAAACATGCCATCGACATAAATTGTCTGTTTACAAAATCACATCAAGCAAGCCAACGTGACTGAATATTCTATGCAGTGTCATCTTCACATTGCGTCAGTTGTGGGAACACCGCGATCCACCGCAGTCCTATTCATCGACATCAAATGTGCTTTTGATTCGGTGGGTTGATGTGCACTTGAGGACTGTCTACTCAAGAATGGTGTGCTCAATACATATGTAAATGTCATAAAAGCACTGCATGCGCATAGTTCGGGTTTATCGCAAACTGTCATCGCCTGTCAATATCTCCATCGGTGTTAGACGAGGTTGCCTGTCATCAACTTTTCGGTTTATATGCGTCATTGAAGAACGCATGAAAACTACATTTACTGGCCACGACTTGGAAGGTGTGCAGCTGATTCTGCGTGAGTGACTTCTGGACTCGGAGTACACCGATGACATTGCGAAATCCCTCTCCAACATTGGCTGGGACCCACTCCTGCGCTGACCCTTGGTGGTGATCAGCGAGAAGTCGTCCAGAGATTCAAGTACCTGGGCAGCTATATTAGCGTTCGTGGAATCGAAGATTACGTCACAAACCTAGGCGCCTTTGCCAATCTACACCATCTGTACCGCCAGCGTAGCATCACTTTCGCTCTGAAAAGCATAGTTTATAATGCAGACGTACGCTCAACCCAACTGTACGTTTGCGAAGCTTGATGCATCAGATAGACAGAGGTAAAGAGGCTAGTTATGTTCGATCATCGCTGCCTTCGCAGATTAGCTCATGTCTGGTAGGAACACCGAGTGAACAATGAGCGTGTTCGGTGCAGGAAGAGTGAGTGAAACGCCCGGCACCATTAGATCACGCACTAAGCTCCGATGGCTCGGCTACGTGTCGCGAATGCCAGCAAACCTACTCCCGCGACGTGGGTGGTTTGCGCGCAGGGGGTGTGGATGGACGAAGAGGAGGCGAAGGCAAGCGGTGACTTGATCAAGAATGAAAACCCGCGCTTCGAATTTGGCGTCAGTTGATGCCTCCGGGCTGCCCGAAAGACCATGAGCACACTTGGTTGGATAGACTTGTTGATATGGAGAGGAGCTGACCTAAATGGCATTTGTGCTGTTTTTTGTTCATCAAATCGCTTATCTTCCCCTTCCAATAATGATCCCTTACCTAATGCTTAACATTCTGTTAGTTGCTGTTGTTCATGGTTTTGTGCTATATGTTGATCAGTATTTTGCTCTTCGTATATCTTTTTGTATTGCTGCACAATAGCTGGATCGTTTCTCACTTTCACCTAACCTGTATGTGATGCAGACGAACAGTTTGGTTGCGGTAAGTCATGCGGAGAAATTCAGTAACATCTTTCATGGAGTAAACGGTCTCTGTTATTGTCCTCTTCCGATAGAGCGAAAACTAAGGAATTATTTATTGGTAATACGGTTGAATAAGATCCTGGAACCTAGTGACGGAGATGGATTGAAAATGTTCGTGCTGAAGAACGAACAATGTGCTTAACGGGATTAATCGAACAACAACGCTAAACTTGAGAGGTGCAAAAGCAATGACAAATTGGTCAACGATTGTGACTGTACAAAATTGGTCGAGCGAACTCATGCGAATGCATGCAATTGGGAAGTAAATAACAAAGAGGAATGTGGGCTCTGACGAGCATCACAAGTTGTTTATCGTGCACAAGGACGAGTGCTTGCGTGGGTGTGGCCGGGTAACAGCATCAGAGCGATCACTGAGAAGTTCGAAGTGGGAACGTGGGGGAGAAAGACTTTGTGAAGTAGGGTATTGTCACATTTTGTTACTTCGTGTCGGTCAGTCGCAAGTGACGACCGCGGCTTAAAAGTGACAAGATTTTATCGAGGCAGTTGAAAGACAGGATCTGGTCGCGATCGGACGAACGAGCACGCAGTGATCCGAAGCACACGGTCACCAGTGGGAGTTCGGCTTCGATAAACCTCCGATAACAGAGGTGGAATGCGAAAAAGAAATCACCAAATGGAGAACGATCAGTTGGTGCATTTAGGGGACAATCCCTTATCTCTGACAAAAAGCTTCACAAATTTCGACCTGGTGATTACAAATGTAGTGAGCCGATTACACATGTAAACAACCGTTGTCGAAAGAGGAAATACGAGGCATTTCATTCACACGAATCGGACAGGATTCACTTGCGTACAACAGCACAGCATGAACAAAGGCAGTATTTCGACAGACAGGCAACTTGCAAATATTCACATCAACGGCGGCCCCACTGGGGATATCAAATGGCAACATATAGTAAAAAATAGAAGCACGTAAACTAGACATTAAAAGTGTCGCAGAATATAAATAAACAGCGAAGCAAAAATTGCGGTAATGTATGATTTAGAGTTAACGTGATCTTGAGCAAGCGTTGGTGTAAGCCAGGTGAAATGCACCAGATAGTAACGGGAACAAAAACAAAAGTGCAAAAACTAAACAAAGAATATGCAGAGAATTAACAAAACTGACCAAATACAACAAAATGTATTCAGTCAGTTCTAGTATAATGCGGAACAAGTGATACATACAGTGCCTTTGAGAATAAGGAGCCGAAAGCCGTATCATAACACCGGGGAATGCTCACACGAACGCACCTGTGTGTGCGTGCAGACCCTCTACCCCAAGGGACTAGGACATTAGATTTTTCTGTCCTTCAGGTGAACGACCACTGAAATGCAAACTGGATGACTGGTAGGTGGGCAGACAGGCGCACGTGAAGCGAGGAGACCGCTAATGTGGTACAGTGGGACCATGATGAACGAGAATGATCGAGAGATTTTTATGGATGCCCAACTAGTTCTTGGTTGGCTAGGCCAAACGAGAAGCATACTGCGAAGAATGGTTCCTGTTTCGAACAGTGTTTTAGTGATGGAGCACAGTGATGCACGTTCAACGGCAACTTATCGGCCACCGTTGTTATAACACCTGGCCGTTGGTCAGCACGTGCTTATTCTTCGGTTGTATGGTCAAGACGTTTAAAAGCTGCAGAAACTACGCGATGATACAATAACATGAAACTGCTGCAGACCTTCGAAAAACTGGAAGTGTTCGTAACACCAGCAAAGCTGGCCGGCTTCGCACCACTACAGATGAGTCTGCGGCTTGCGATGTTATCCGCGAAGGAACCGGAAATCTCGACATGAGCATCAGTAGAATCGCTTAGCATTGTGACGACCAGTTGCGCTATTCAGTGGATGATAAAGGAAACAAAATGTCGTCGGTATGGTAAACTTCAGGTGCAAGTTCTGAACCTCTGCGATCTGGAGAAATGGCATGCTTTAAGCTTCTGGTTGTTGGATCACATGGATATTAATCAATATTTTACCGATGAGTCAGTGTTCCATTTGAACGGAATAGAGAAGCAGTATTTTTGGGCAGTATCTAATCCACGACGTTATCGAGCTTCACATACGCAACATAGTCCGAAGATCATGGTTTGGGCTGGGCTGGAACAACTGCAAGATGGATCGTGGGCCCATTATATTTTTAGCAATGTGACCGGTGGGTTGCTTTTGTCCAGTACTGATGCCATGCGTTTCCTAGCATCGTCTTACAAGTAACTACCCCGGACCTGCGTAATTCCGTAATTGGAAACCGACGGATTATGCAGTACCACTTGGTGGGAACATGATGGTGCACCTGCATATTATGCCCAACCGGTACGTGATTACCTGAGCGGGATTTTCGGCCACCGATTGACCGGTCGGAGGCGGACAAACGGCGTGGCCTGCCTGGTCACTTGATTTGAGCCCCTTGGATTTCTTCCTTTGGGTCTATTTAAAACGAAGAGTTTATAAGACAAGGCCTAATTCATTGGAATAACTGAAAGAGAACATCGTGTATGAATGTGGCGCCATCACCGCAGAAAAATTAGAGAAAGTCCTTGCCAACTGTCTCAGGCGATTTCTGCACTGCAAGTAGAACGCCGGTGGTCACTTTGAACACCTACTGCGTTGATGTTTAAATCACGGTTTAACCCCGTCTGTTTAAATATATGTATCCAACCCCACGTGTTCATCACTTTTCGGAACTCAGCCCGGCTTTAGCATTGAATGAAGGACTGCACTGTACCCTATGCCTTTCAGGGCGAGAGTGATGTCCCGTAGGCGCAACAGACGACGGAGATTAGGAAAGGCGATTAGAGCTTATGCTATACGGCTGGTGATCTCGAGGACGATACCATCGTGGCTCAAGTGAACAAGATGATAACGCGGGAATAAGCTACGGGGTTGCGTAAGCTTTTCGTGTTTCCTGGCTTAGTGACATTGTAGTGTTGGATGAGTACTACAGAACATCAACTCATCAGTGATGTTCCTGGAGAGAAAAAGTCGGAACCCCTGCTTTTTCGACCAGTCAGCCTCAAGCTTCATAAATGAGGCTTTGTATCGGCGGATATTAGATGTGGGCGAGAAATGCGGCTACTCGGTTCCATACAAATGAATTCACTCTACCCACTTGCTTTCCTGAGTAACAATGAAACCAGATTACTGTAAGGGAGCAAATACTCCTTTATCAAGCCGGTATGTTCCTTATGCATCTAACGGGAATGGTACGTCAGTGTTAGTATATAACATCGGAAATTAATCGGCGCATAGCGACAATGGTTTTATGAGTACCGAATGGCTGCACCCGGAACGTACGATATTAACCGTTAGCAAATAGCTTATGGCCACAGTAGAGTACAGGTCGGTAGGTATAAACGGTTGAGTACTTGGACATTTGCACAATAAACGCGAACACCGTTTGGAAAGTCGCATGTTTGACAGGTTGCGCATCAATCGTTCTTTGAGTAGGTGCACATACCTCGGGTAGCACATGACCGAAGCGGTCGGAGACACAGAGAGCCAGAAGTGGATACTGCATCCCATTCGCATGCTGTGTGATCTCACACATCAGCTACTCAAACCAGACTGTACATCTAGAGGTCAACACCTAAGTGTACACTATTTCACTGTACCAGTAGTCTAGTCATCATTCTACCTAGCAGTTGCTCCACTATTGCTACATCGGATTCCTTCAAATATGGATGCCCAAGATATAAGGCTGTCACGTCTAAATGTTGAAGAAAACATCAACAGTTCGTATTGGGTAGTTATTCTCATGCCTGCGAAAGTGATTGTTAGCCTAACCTCCAAACGAAACTCATACACGTTTGTTGTACCATTGATGATGATGTCTAATGTGTCTCTATCCAGTTTGTGACAGCTCACACTTCAATTTGGATAAACGCATGTGCATATGTTGTATTCGAACTGCCATTGGACACGGATGACGACAATCTATGTATATATGTATACCGAATGAATTCGACGAGGATACTCATACCGCTTTTGTACGGCTAACGTAGTGCAGTAAAACGACATTCGAGCAAACCGAAAATAACATTACCAGAACATGAAGAAGGTGTGTTTATGACAAACTCATGTTGATTTCAGGTGTTGCAAATCCAAGGCAAATTTGATCGATGCGAATTCCGTGGACTGTTCAAAAGGCGGTTTCTCAGGTGCCGGAGAAGGCACTATAGTATGTGGAATAGAAGCACCATGAGTATGTTCCCATTCAATTTACTAATCCAGGCCAATAAGGCGGCGTATGTGGTATGTTTGCCTGTGTGATGAATAATCTTGCATTTCAGAAGTAGATGTTGCTTGAGCTCCCCTGTGTGGATGCGCCTGATGTGAATGTTGACAAGGTGCCTACCTGTCTATTACCCACTACCTCTTCCAGGAGACAGTTGGTCGTCGCTGGAGGGGACGGAATGCACCGTCCTCGTGACGGTGCTAGGCTCAAAGAGTGGTTCCATTCAACCTGTGTGGGATGGGCTAGGGTCCAGCCACCGCCTCGTGTATGTCTGGTGTGTATGATTTCCCAATTAGGCCGGAATGCTTCCGTTCTGCTTGTTGAAGGAGTGTGGGCCGGATCCGTTGATGAAACGTGGCTCCCATTCACATACCTCCCGGTCTTATTCCTTCGGGTTTACACCGGATATGAGGTGTGTAGGTGGAACTATGGGTGGTGCAGCGCAAGCCACCCATGGTCCCCTTTGTAGTTGCAGACGTCCTGTGACTGTCCCCATAGATGTCACAGTGACAGGCAAATCCGGATACGGACGCCGCCAAATCATGTTCTTTATGTGAAACGCTCAGTGGAAAGTTATGCTTTTTAGGCGGAAGTGATTTGTTGAAGG